TTCACAGTGCTCATACTGTGGACCGGGCGAGCTAAATTTCTTCCTCTGGGAAAGGTTTTGGTTTCCCAGACTGTACAATCAGAAATTAAAATTTGATTAATTAACTGGTAATTTAATGTGTGTCATGGCTTTAAAAAAAAAAAAAAAAAAAAAAAAAAAGAAGAAAAGAAAAAAAAGGAAGAAAAAAAAAAGCCCTAAAAGATAAGTGAGGTCACTTTTTTCTTGGTTATTTCACTGTGTTTTGGTGATGTCCAAATGTCATGAGCACATTTAGTAAAGTGTAATTTGTGGGAAGATGCTCAGGTTGGACCTCCACAACTCCTGTGGGAAGAGAAAGGTTTTATTAGATAGCTGTAAAAAAGAAATAAAATTCAGTGAAGAAATTATTTCATTTGTAATTGTTTGGAGTTTAGGGGGATTAAAAGTCAAAATACTAGATGTGTATGTTTCTTGTTTATTAGCATGCACCAAGCTCAGTGTGTTTCTTTCATGAATTTTCATAAGGATTTTTACTACGTAGCATGTGTGGCTTAATGATGCAATCACCTGATAGACTGGGAAGACTCCAAAGGAGACGTTCCGGTCTGTTGTGTACATAATACTTGTTTCAAAAATCTGCCTAATTAAGGAATTACCCAATGGAATGCAAGTCTACTGGGTGCATGACACGGTTAAAGAAAATAACAACAACAAAAACCCTGGGTATAATTACAATATTACATGATACCTTATATTGGCAATTTGGAATATAAGGGAATGATGCTAACCTGCCATTGTTTCAGCTGGCATGCCAGTAGATTATGATAATTTGTAGGGGAAAGTAAATGTATATTTTCCCATGATGGAGCTGCTGTGACCTTTTCTCTGCCCAGCTCCAGCCTGCAGCCACAGCGTGTGATGATTCACTCAATGCTTGTCTTGCAGTGGCTCTAGGAAGTGGTGAAACGTTGCTGAGAATGGGTTTTGCTCCCAGAGCCAGGCCACCTTGGTCTTGTTGAGCTGCAAACACCACCTCTGGTGGTTTGCAACGCTTGTGCTTCACTGTGGTGGACAAAGTGGTGGAAAGAGTGAAATTATTCTCAGAGGTGTCACAGCTGATGTTGGATGTGACCGGCCAAGAGCACCTCAGAGCAAGGCTTCATCAAGCAGGGGCAGCTGGTGGATTCATGGGCAATGACCTTGGTTCCATCAAGCTGGCTCCTTGGCCCTGGGCACTCATCTGCATGTGGCTCATTTGTCGGGGTGCGTTCCACGGGCGCAGGAGCAGGGTGGGAAGCGTTCCTCGTGGCAGGTTGTGGGTCCAGTGTGTGTGCAAGAGCTCACTCTGCACAGCTGGGGCCCGGCTGCCATCACACATCACACTGCACGTGTGTGTCACCCCACGCGTGGCAGCCTGGACACAGCACACGTCACACTCTGCACATGCTGTGTGTCACAGCACACGTCACAGCACACGTCACACTCTGCACACGCCGCATGTCACAGCATGTGTGACAGCCTGGACACAGCACACCTCGTGCTGCACATGCTGTGTGTCACAGCACATGTCACAGCACATGTCCCATCACATGTCACAGCACACGTCACAGCACACGTCACACTCTGCACACGCTGCACGTCACAGCATGTGTGACAGCCTGGACACAGCACACCTCGTGCTGCACATGCTGCGTGTCACAGCACATATCACAGCACATGTCCCATCACATGTCACAGCACACGTCACACTCTGCACACGCTGCACGTCACAGCATGTGTGACAGCCTGGACACAGCACACCTCGTGCTGCACAGGCTGCATGTCGCAGCCCATGTCACAGCCCATGTCACACTCTGCACACGCTGCATGTCACACCATGTGTCACACCACATGTCACAGCCCATGCCACACCACATGTCACACCACATGTCACAGCCCATGTCACACCACATGTCACAGTCGATGTCACAGCATGTCACAGCCTATGTCACAGCACACGTCACACCCTGCACATGCTGCATGTCACAGCCCATGCCACAGCCCATGCCACAATCCATGTCACAGCCCATGTCATAGCACACGTCACACTGTCCTGCGCTGGTTCTAGCACAGCCTGCAGAGGTGCCTTGGCCCAACAGGGGCACTGGAGTTGCACAAAGGGGTCTGGCCTCTCGTCCCCCACCAGCAATGCCCGTGCAGCACAAAACAGGGAGAGCAGGGAAACACGCAGAAATAGAGGTCAGATGATTTTCCTTAATTAGTGAGATTTAGCCAGATTGCAGGCCCTAAGTAGCAGTGAGCTTTGTAAAAGGGAGCCCTGGTCGGATCAAAGTCAGTGCAGATAAGGGGAGCTCAAGGTCACTGAGGGAGCTGCCCAGCAGGGCCATTTGCATAAAAAATTACTGTCAGAAATAGGCCAGAGAGGCAGCCCTGGCATTTTGATCTCTTGGCCTTTGTCATGGAGATTCCTGGTTCAGAAGGGAGGAAGGCCAGTGTCCCAGATAATGATTAACTGTTTTAATGGCATTCATTCATTCATTCTGCACTAACTACTCATGCAGAAAAAAGGGTTATGTAAAATGACATTAGAAGAAAAATCATTTGTAATCGTTGCATCAGGCTGCACTTTGAGGAGACATTAGGAGTAAATCCATGGCGTGGTAGGCTTATGCTTTATCTTCTGATATTTACTGAGTTTACTGGTGCATGAAAAGCTTTCAGCAAGAATAGCAGATGGGATGGACCTTTCATAGGTAATGCTATCTACCAGGTTATTACTTCTATATATTGATAGTGAAGTAATCTCCAAGATACCACCCTACAAATATAGATTATTTAAATGTTTTTAACAAAAAAAAAACCCTATAACATAAAGAAGCTGTGTTGATGAATAGTTTATTTTGTACCCATATGGCTGAATCCTTAGATGCTTTTTTAAGTCTTAAATAATAAGAAAACAGAGGGTTTATAACATGCAAGTTTCCTTTTTGGTTGGCTTGTGAGAAGAGTAAAGTTATGTAGAGTTGTAATCTGACTTGCAAGTGTTCAGTTTAATTTTTTCCTTAAATGTGACCTTTTGTGTTAACTAAATAAAAGCAAGAAGAGCAGGGGAGCTGCCCTGGGAGGGGAGCATGGGGGTAGGATGTGTGTGAGCCCAAAGGACTTCATGCTGAGGAACCCCCCTCATCTGCTCGTGCCCAGTTTTTGGTGTGGGGGCCCACAGGGTCCCTGCAGAGCTGCTCCTCAAGGAGCTTATCTTTCCTGTAAAAAGTATTGAGAACTGGGTGCAAATTTTGCCCCCAGACATGCAGAATTTTCAGCTTTGGAACACTAACAATGGCCAAAACCATAATTCTTTTCATTGGAGGATGTCATTCTGTAGGTGGAGGTGTCAGGCTCTTCGATTTCAGAACAGGACATCTTGGAATGTGAAGGATGGCGTGTCTGAAATAATTCCTGGGGTTTGTACCTACATGCTGCCATCACCCTGCCCTGGGCAACACCTGAGCAGTGTGATGGCTGGTTCTCAGAAGGTTCCATGCAGAGCTCTCCAGCAGGGTCCCCATGGTGTGCTCTCCAGGGACATCACCCTTGAAAACAGATTTAGTACAGGCCAGGCTCTGCATGTCAGGAGGGCAAAGGAAGGTGTCGTTCACAGGGTCATTGCTGCTCTTCAGGAGCCCTGTGCAAGGCAGAGAGGATTTCTGGGGGCACTGTCATGCTGAAATCTAACCACAATAATGGTGATTGATCCACTAAACAAACCAGACAGATTTTTCCCCAGGGGGACTACACAAGGGCTTGCATTTTGTTTTGTTGTTTTTAATTTCCTTGTCTCTTCTACGTACTTATGATAAAGGAATACCTGAAAAACTGAGCCAGCTTAGTGTGTCACTTACACACTGCTGTTAGCTGGAGAGCTCTTGCTGTGAGACATGGATGAGAAATACACAGATTGCTTTATAGGTGGTCGTTTTTCCCTTTCCCTGTTTCCCCACCTTTTGTCACAAATCACTGTTGCATGTGTCACTCTTCTTAGCCTTCCCTCAGGCCCCTCCTGGTGCGTGGGTGTGAGCTAAGGAACATGACTCCGAAACACACATTTAAACCCAGGGCTGGGGAGTTCACAGTAAGGTGACACTGCAAGTGTGATCAGATTCACAAAGAACAGCACTGGAAGGTTCCTCTTGTTCCTGCCTACTTTACAAACACTGCTGTCATTCTTCTGGAGGCTCCGACTGAGAGCGCAGTGGCTCCCACAGCAGAAGAGCATGGCAACACACGTTGAAAGAAAAAAGCCATTCCTGCAACGAGCTTTGCCAAATGCTACAATTTTCTGTGAAATCAGGGCCACTTTTCCATGCTCCTTTAGCCCCAGAGAGACGGAAACACTGAGTTCAGTAAGGTGGCTCCTAAGCCCCACAGCTTTTGGGCAGGATTCCTGCATCCCTTGTCAGTCCTGGTGCCTGCCTGTGCTGGCACCCCCCTAAAACAAAACAGAACCCTAAAAATGAAACAAATTCTATCATAGATTCTTACTCGGCCTCTCTCCAAGATCTATGGCCTGAAAACCATTGTTACAAAATTTAACTACAGGAACACCTAACTCTGTCATGTCTGTGCTGTGGAATATGGGACTGGTGTCCCATTCCCTCTGTGGCCATGGCATTGTGCCTCCCCAGCTGTGTCTGACAGCCCCTGTGAGAGGAGAGGGGCTGGCACACGAGGAGGAGAGGACAGATAAATCAGCAGTTTGCATTCAGAGCTGAAATAACATGGCCAGGCAGACAGGATGCCAGCGATGCCCCTTCCCACCTCATCTGTGATGCTCAGGCCGAGCCTCACTCTACAGAATTACAGTAGCGCCAGCCTGTTGCTGCTTTTTCAAACTTAATATTCCAGCAGCAAGCAGGAGCCTATTGATCCAAACTTAATAAAATAGCATTTATGTAATTTTAATTTATTTTTAATTCAGCACCCAGAGTACTGCCAGAGCTAACTGTTGCCCATTCCACCTGCAGACCAAGCCAGGACCCATCCAGGCGGCCGGCTCGCCCTCGGAGCGCGTGGTCTCCACCTACTGCTACAACTGCTCCCGCCAGGGACACCTCGGATACGTGAGTCTGGGCTGCATCGGGGGGCCAACCCTTCCCTGAGCGGGGAGACAGCTGCTCGCTGTGAAAAGTTAAACAGGTTTATTAAACCTTAACAAAAATACAGCAAGGGACTCCGCAAGGAAAAAGCTGCAGCGCTGGGAGCTGCCCTCATGCACACCACATGGCTGGTGCATCTCCAGGATGGATGCTCAGGCTTTTATACCCCTGGGGTTGCATCAGCCAGCCCTGGCCCTCCCCAAGTCTGTCAGTCAGCTCTTCTGTGCCATTTATCAGTGCAAACTGCTTCCTTGGACCTGCATTGGAGCTCAGGTGTTGCCATGCCCACCCCCTGAGCACCCCCAAGCTTTTCCATCCCCACCTGCCCCATGCAAGGGACACCTGTGCAGCTTCTTTGTACCTGTCCTGGACAGCCCAGCTGTCTGATGGCAACAATACAGGGGGGAAAGGGAGCTATGGGAGAACAGAGGACATACATAATACAATAACATAACCGTACATCACTAAAGCTTCTCTTAATATTCACACAATAGTTATCTTTTAATTGCTTGAGCCAATCATCTCATATCCATCTATAACACACACTGTCTGTGTGGGGCTGGAGGGAAGAGCTGCAAGCGCCACGCTGGTGTGTGACACCAGAGGAGTGTGACCAACCTCGGTGGAGGTCAGTGAGTAAAGGAATCCCACCCATCTAATTTAGAGATGGGGAGGCAGGTAACAGCTGCTATCTCTCCTTGGGAGGTTCATTGAGTTGAGAGTGCCTGGGAGAGAGAATGTTCATTGGAAAACAGTTGCTGGATACAGCATTTCTCCCCCTTTCTTTTTTTCCCACATTGAACATCATGTCAGGGTTTTCACCATACTCAGCCCAACTATTTGAGTGGTGTTTTGGGAATCTTCCATTTCTGCCTGCTTGTGATGATCCTTACATGTAGTTTCCTGGTTTAGGTCAACATCTGACCTAAGTTTGGCATTGTCCTTCTGTAAGGTGCTGCCTGGTAAAGGAGGCATCATGAGCCTTAAGTGGCTTCAGTAAAACCAGGAGATGTGGCTGCACCTTCCAGGGCATTCTGGTGATATTTATCACCTTTTTCAGTGCCTTTCATAACAAGTTCAGCTCTGTACCTGCAGTTACCAACACAGAACAAATAACAGGATCTTGTCGGTTATGGAATAAATGCAGGAGCCAAGCCACAAATATTCTAGAAAAGGAACGTTAATCATGCATTGGATGGACTTAGCTTATTTTTTCCTGTGGCTTAGAAACAGCAAATTGCCAGCAAATTCCTCTCTTCCCTTCTGCCTGCTCTTGTGTGTCAGCCCATTCAACTATCCAGTACATTTTGTTAAAAGATTGGCCCTTTACTTTAGTTTACTTTTATTAAACTGCCCAAGAAATGGCACTGGAGGAAGACAGACACACATGGATACAATTAAGGCTGCTGTAAGAGTAATGAGTAATTATTAGGGATGCTGTAAATTGATTGTTTAAGTCACTATTAAGGTCGATGTAAAAATAATTAGAAATTATATGTGAGGAGCTGATAGTAAATACTTAGATTGAAGCTGGTAGAAACTGTACAAAATCAGAAAGAGAGGAAAGCAGGTCATGGACATTTTCTGTCTCTCAAAGTTAAGGAAGATAATAAAGTATTTGCAGTAATGTACAAGGAGCAGAAACAGCCTGAGCAAGGGCTGAATGAAAGGGGATAAGCCAATAGCAACACAAGGGAACAGAGGTACCAGATCTTCCTATGTGCACACCATTCCCAAAAACAGGAAAAATAATTGCAGGAAAACTGATTCTTCACTAAATTTCACCCAAACAAATGCCAAAAAGAAGCTGAGAAATGCAAAACACATCAAAAATGCATCTGTGATCTGCTGTGCCTCTGGAAGGGACAGAGGAGCAGGCAGGGACAGGGGCTGCCAGGGTGGCACTGAGTGGCAGCAGCAGCACACGCAGGAAAGCTGCTGGTCCCATGGTGCAGGCATCAGGTGAGTGAGAGCTCCTGACAGCTCCTGGAGATTGGAGAGGCCCAGGTGCCTCTAGAATGGCTTCAAAGTGACAGACAGTGGAGTTAGATCAGCTGTCAGGAAGGAATTGTTCCCTGGCAGGGTGGGCAGGCCCTGGCACAGGGTGCCCAGAGCAGCTGGGGCTGCCCCTGGCAGAGCCCAAGGCCAGGCTGGACACTGGGGCTGGGAGCAGCCTGGAGCAGTGGGAGGTGTCCCTGCCATGGCAGGGGTGGGATGGGATGGGATCCTTGATTAAGGTCCCTACCAAGCCAAGCCATTGTGGGATTCTGTGTTTCTATGATCTCAGCAGTATCTAAGAAGAGAAAGATGATGAAGCAAAGCACAGCAGGTAACAGGCAATTTACAAGGAGGATAAAGGAGAATAAAGCACCTGTCAATATCATGGTACCCAGATAAAAGGCAGAATCATAGGAAGTGTTCCTGTTAGCCTGTCTCAAGACATGGATAAAACTGTGTGCACAGCAGTGAAAAAACTTACATTCCTGTTCCAGGTGTCTGGGAAGTAGGCTGGCATGCCCATGATGCCAGAGTCAGCCCCTTCCTCGCCTCTGCTGTCTGTGCAGGGCTCTCCTGCTCTCGGGAGGTTGCAGTTTATTGCAGCCCTGACACATGTGAACAGTCTCTGTTTTGGCCCACACGTTTGAAGAATGAGTTGGAGCTCTTCAAATCTCAGTCTCAGAGTTGTTTATTGTATCTTATCTATAAAAATTTTTCTCCTGCCCTGCCAAGGTCCGTCCATCAGGACAGTTCCAGGCACTCTGCCTGTCCCCGGGGTGGTGTTATCTCTTTATACTACAAACTACAGATAACATGTTTGCAATTACTTTCCAATATCTATCACCTATGTTAGACACTGAGCTTCTACTCTAAACCAATCCAACAGTGCCAACATCCCAGCAGAAGATGGAGGTAGAGAAGAAGAAAGGCTGGACTTGCCCAAGTCCCTCCATCTTGTCCCCAAAACCCCCTATTCTAAAAACCTTAAAATCTACCCCTTCACCTAGTGATAATTTTATTATTACACTACTTGAACTTCCGTGGCTTTCAGGTCTTCATACAAAGCTGGTAATTTGCTCCACGGGTTGTAATCAAACCCCCAGGTGTTCTGGGCTGTGTGCCAGGGTCTCTGAGCCCCCTGGCAGGGGTCCCGGCAACTCTGGGCACCCAGAGGGATGCACTGAGTTCCAAGATCCTGCTCTTCTTTTTCCCCTTTCGTTAGAGACAGAAAACCCTCACGCTAACCCTAACCCTGCAGCCTGCAGCAGGATTTGCCTGTGGCTTGTCCCTGTGAGGGAGTGGCACACAGTGACAGTGACACAGTGACTTCCCTCCTGTCTGCGGGCAGGCTCTGGCTGCCCATGGCTGCTCCCCTCTCCCCTTTGGGCTGCCAGCCCTCTGCAGGAACCTCACCCCAAGGAGCCCCGGGGCCAGGCTGCCCTGCCAGGGCCCTGTGTGCCTCTGAGGGCCAGGTGTATGCACAGCAGGTGTGGGGTCCTGCCTGGCAGCAGGACTGCCCTGTCTCTGTGCCCAACAGCTCTGCCAGCAGCTCACCTGGTGTGTGCCTGTCTGCACCTGGTCCCCGTGGCCTGTTCTGTGGGTGTTACAGGTGTGTGGTGACTGCAGGAGATTCCTTCTGTGGGCTCAGACAGCACCAGTGTCTCAGTGTGTGCAGGAGGGATTACAAGCAGGTCATGAAAATGTCACAAGTACAGAGCAGGACCTGCAGGCCTGGCCCATTTCACTCCAGGAAGTCCCCACTCAGCCAGCTCTAGTGACCTGAATGTGTTTTGCAGGAGTGCTCAGAGAAGAGGATGCAGGGGAACATGTTCCCCACTTCTCCCTTCGTCTACTACTACGATGATGAGTGCGACATCAGAAAGAGAGCCAACAGGTTAAAAAGAAAGGTGGCAGGTACAGTATGGTTTGGGAGATCCCTCCCACCTTCCAGTCCTGTGTTTGTGCTTTCTAGGAACATTGTGGGATTACTTTCATGTGTTGGGAAAAGCTGTGTGGATTTGAACAGGTAGCCTGGTGGTAGTAAAAGATTTGTGACTTTACTCATCCGTGTCTATCATGGAAATTGACTGTGTCAAAGTCACTCAGGGAGCATTGTCAGATGTTTTAATTCTGAAAAATCTGCTGACATTAAAAATGCCATGAATAGGAGGAAGGGGATTAAATCACGATTTGTTAAGATTCTAGCCTGATGACAGGAAAAACCCACAGTGAAGAAATCTGCCAGAGATAAATTGTTGTCTAACTTCCTACGTAACAGAGGAGAGGTGTGATGGCTCAGGTGCCCAGCTCTAGGGGTTTCAGGTATTGAAATAATCCGCTCTGCTTTCCAGACCTCCAGGAAGCTGGCCTCCTGCCGGAACAGCCTGAAACACCCTTGCAGGAGGAGCAGCTCGAGGTGCCCAGCCGCAAGAAAAAGAGCAAACTCTGGAAAGAGCAGCAGGGGAAGCCCCGCAGGAGCAGTGAGCAGCAGAAGAAGATGATGAAGGTGAAGATGATGAAGAAGAAAGGCCAGGAGGAGAGGCAGAGGAGGGCAGCTGGAGTCCACGGGGACCCTGAGGATTTCCCTCGGGGGCCCAAGCAGCAGGGCTGCAAGGGCAGCAGGGCCCGCCGCAGGGCCCTGCTCCGGGCACCCCCAGCCTGCAAGGCCTTGAGCATGCAGCAGCCCCCAAAAGGTGCCAAAGGGAAGAAAAAATGGAAAAAGCAGAAAATTGCCAGTCCTGACAGCAGGGACAATCTGTTCCTTATAAAACAGAGGAAGAAGTCCAAGCAGAAATCCTGGTGATGGCAGGTAGCACTGGCATTCCCTGCTCTGGCTCTGCCTTCTCTTTACTCCTGTCCCTCTCTTGGCACATGAACTGGAGTCTGTCCCTGTCCCGGCATGCTGGGCACCTTCTGACCACCCACCCTGTCCATCTCCACAGCCACAGGGACCACTCCATCTCTGTGAGCCACCCCTGGCAGGCAGCACCCAGAGCTCCTGCCACGGGGGTCTACAATACGCTGTACGCTTATTTTCCTTGCTTGGGGGTGTGGGGGCACCCTGGGCTTGGCAGGCTTTGTTTGTTCAGCAGGGAGGTGTGGCTGTGCTGTTGGAGCACAGCACCTTCGGGGCCAGTGCCAGGGAGATTTGGGTCGGGGGTGGCTGGGGTGCAAAGCAGGAGGGTGGGTACAAAGCACGTTCCCTCAGCCACCAGTCCCCTCCAGAGTGCAGGAGGGCCCTGGGCACTGCCCTCCCCCTGTAAGGGACATCCAGGTCTCTGCTTTGTGCTCTGGGATGCAGCAGTCCCCCAGCTCACTCTCCAGAGCAGTGCCATCCATCCCTTGCCCTCCAGGCTCAGCTTTTGGGGATCCACCCTGTGCTGACCAGCTGGTCAGCAGAGCAGGAGTGAGCAGCTGCGCCTGGAACAGAGTTTACTTCTCCCACTAAATCTGTCCTTGTTTCTTGTAATGTGCTGGAGGAAAAAGGAGTGGAGTATGAAGAACATACTTGGTTCCAGTCACACTGTGCTAAAATTTAATTTTTTTTTAAATTAAAGTTATTTTTGTACACTGGAATTCAGCATGTTGTTTTAAGGTTTGTAAGAGTAAAATGCTTTATCAAAGGACTAACGCAAATAAAACTTTACATGAGAAATATGAAGAGAATGGGTTTGTTTCTCATTTCCTTGCATTCCAAACATAATTGAAAACAGCATCATGTTCTCTTTCCTGAGCTGAAACTGCATCACCACAAGAGTAAAGTAAAAAAGTAATGGATTTATACTCCAGTGTTGTGAGAGGGGAATTATCTGTAGCCTGCTGCTGTGTGAGGTGCTCTGTGCTGTACCAGTCCCCAGTGAGCAGCTGAGGGCGACAGCACAGTGTCACTGAGGTGCAGCTCCTCCCCTCCTGCAGCAGTCCTGTGCTAGATTAGAGACTCTTTATACCCTGAAAGGGTGTCTGGAAAGGGACATGGGCCCCCAAGAAAAATGTGAGGACTCTCATTATGGCAGTGTTATCCCATGCCAGTGCTCCCTAAATTCATCAGGTTTTTGTTTAGCAAACTCAGCAGTGGGAACACAGGTATTCTGGTGACCATGTCATCCTGTTCCAGAGGTATTTGTGATATACACTTGCATAGTATTTGCAAACCTGATGTCTAGCTTTGCTTCAGCATGTCCTTGGCAACAAAAATTGTCCTTGGCAACAAAAATTAAGCTTAACTTCATTTATTGCTTGATTGAAAAATTCCTGATGATACTGAAAAGAAAATCAGTTTTAGCCTTATTGAAAAAATACTAATTCCACCCCTGAAAAGATTTGCTTTTAACATGGAAACAGCTCTTTTCCACATGCTGTGTTGTGCATCCCTTTTCAGTTTTGAATTCTGTGTTTTGAGCAGAAGTCACTTTGAGCCTGTAGCCAAACCCGCACAAGCCTGGCAGACAGGGAGGGTTGTTTCCAGTGGTTGCTGTGGCCTTCTGGCCAGCGAGGCTCTCTAGAGGTGAGTGCATTTCCTGCACCTCAGAGCAGTGCCTGTGCATGTCCCCGTGTGTTGCACTGTGATTTCAGGTTTCACCCCAGAACCCCAGGTTCCTCCCATGATAATGCCCTGCCAGGTGTGTCAGCCACCTCTCCTTTCCCTCCCTCACCCCTCCCAGCACTGTCTGTCAGTCCTGGCATTCCAGAACGGCGCTGAGGGACTGGCACAATTCAAAGATGCCCTCCACCCCTGGGGGGCATTGGGCATCCAGGTGTCCTTTGTCCCTTTGTCCCTCCCCTCCTGGACCTGGCTGGTGGCTCCCTGCCCCTTCCCTGCCCCTCTCCCCGGGGTTAAAGGAGCAGCAGCCACGGGCTCAGGGAGTTCTGTTGGAGCTGGTGCTGCATTCAGAGGCCTGAGGGCCAGAATAAAGCTCTGGATCCAAACCCTCCATCAGAACCGACTCCTTTCCTTCACCATGGCCTTAAAGCTTCTCCACCAAGGTAAACCTGAGCTCCTGCAAGCCTGGGCTTGTCTCCCAGTGCCCAGCTGCAGCATCCAGCTGGCCAAAGGTGTCTCTGGGGTAAAACACCAACATCCAGCTGGCCAAAGGTGTCTCTGGGGTGAAACACCACACACCCAGCTGGCCAAAGGTGTCTCTGGGGTGAAACACCAACATCCAGCCGGTCAAAGGTGTCTCTGGGCTAAAACACCAACATCCAGCCAGCCAAAGGTGTCTCTGGGGTAAAACACCAACATCCAGCTGGCCAAAGGTGTCTCTGGGGTAAAACACCAACACCTAGCTGGCCAAAGGTGTCTCTGGGGTAAAACACCAACATCCAGCTGGTGAAACACCACAGTGCCGCTGTTTGGTTCAGCAGCAAGGGCCAGACAAGCTCAGGCATGTCCTGTCTGGCTATATTGGTATTTTTCCAATACCTGTGCAGTGCCAGAGGTGCAGCAGAGTTCAGGTCAGAGTTCATCCTGACTGCTCGTGAGCACCAGGTCCCTGCCAGCGTGGCAGTAGCAGACCAGGGGAGCCATGGCCTTTCTCTGCTGCTCAGAGGGCTCAGGCAGGAGCATTTAACCTTGGACACAGCTGTGGGCTGTTCAAAGGCTGCTGTGCAGGGCTGGGCAGAGCCTGCCGGCCTTGGGAGGTGCTGGCAGGGAGCTCAGGCACAGGGGCTCACACAGAGCTCAGACCCAGTGTGGCTGCCACCTCCTGCAGCCCCTGGCAGTCAGCACGCCTCTGTCAGCACCTGCATGGCCTGTGGGGAACTGCCTCTTGTTTTGCGGAGAGAGCCAAAAGCTCCACAACTTTGTGAAAGTTGCAAAGCTGATATGTTTATTATTACAGCGCCGGATGCACGTGGGGATTACTCTCCTTAAAGGACATCCGTACCTCTGGGAACTTCAGGTCCCTTTTAATCCCCTCTCAGATCATATGCATAGAATTTCCCAATAGGGTCACACATATTCATTTTTACAAATTTTCCGTGACATTTGCCGCTTGTTTATCAGAAAGAATTTCTGTTCTTGTTTATCAGGAAGAAGAATTCCTGGGTCAGGCTGACCTGCTCTCACAGCTGTCTCTGTCTCTCCCTATCACCCTCTGTCTCTCCTCCCTTATCTCTGTCCTTCACTGAATCCCTGAGCCTAGGCCTTGCAGTCAGGCTACAGACTACAGGCTTCAAACTACAGACTTAACTCAAAGATGTACATTTCACCTAAATCAAAATGGATTTCTGCTCTGGAGAATTTCTACTCTGTCTCACTCTGCATGTCCTGCAGGCAGCCAGCCCCACAGAGCTTTGCTCTGGGAGATGCCTGCTGCTTCTGATCACAGGACAGCGAGTAAAAGATGGGGAAACTACTATTTTCAGGGCATGGGAAGGGAAAAAGGGAAGCAGCACCCTGGAAGCAGATGGGATCTGGGTGAGGGAGCATCCTCCAGGCCCCAGGCCAGGACCCAGCTGGCAGGCAGCAGCACTGTGGGAAAAGCAACAAGGCCCTGCAGTGGCACATCCAGCCTGGGGCAGGGACCAGGGGCGAGCTGGGGTCCTGGCAGGGAACAACGTCAGCTCCAGGACTGGCCAGTGTCAGGCTGTGCAGAAATCTGCACCCAGAGGGCACTCAGGGGCGAACTGGCAGATCTGGAGAGGGCCACCAGCGAGAACAGAGGGACAGGGACAGGGCTGGCTTGTTGCTGGGTGGATCAGGAGCGACATAAACTGGTGCCTGCAGCTCTGGTTGGAGGCAAAGCAGGTTGTGTCCAGCTCCAGCTGTCACCAGTGCCACCAGCACACCCTTAAGGCTCCTGTGGGCAGCTGATGGATCTCAGAGAGTTCAGCACGAGAATAAAGCAGCAGGAGATCGTTTGCGTTCAGCGAGGAGGAGAGGACAAGGGAAATGGCAAAAAGGGCTGGATTTCCCAGCATCATCAACATCAGCACGTCAGGTGCTGTGAAAGGGCAGTGCTGTGCTGGAATCCCACACCAGGCCTGGCAGACTGAGCTGCTTCCATGGAGCTCTGCTTTATTCCATTAAACCAGAGTGTTCCTCAGCCTGTCACTGCTCCCGCCTGCTCTGCCCCTCCTTCGGAGAACTGTCAGCCCTTACTCCAGAGATGCCTGGGCCTGGAAAACATGCTCATCCCAGGAGAGGACGGTGTCTGGAGGTCACAGCTGATGTGCACCGGTGAGGCAGCATGAGGAAACCTACATTGCGTGAATAAATAAAGGCTGCAGCTCAGAGCCAGCGCTGCAGAGGAGACACGATGGGGGGATCAGGAGGTCAGAGTCTTGTTGGGTAATGGGGGCAGGTGTCCCGGGAGTGAAGAGGGGAGAAGGGAGTGTTGGCTCCATCATTTGTTGCACAGAGAGGTTGAGGAAAGAAGGAGTGCTGTGATTTGAGGTGTCTGTGTCCATGGCACACCTTGGGGGGGAACTGGATGTGTCTTTGTGACATAGCACAGGTCTGGCTCTTCCTTGAAGCGTTCCTACCCCAAAGTCCATCTCAAAACATCAGTCTGTGTGTGCAGCTGCTGTTCAGCCTGCAGGGACCATCAGTAACCACCCATACATGGCCAGGGCCAGGCTGCAGCCAGCACCAGCAGCCCACAGTGCCAGGCTGGCCTCACGTTGTCTTATGTATTACAACAGTTCATTTGTTGTCTCACCAGCCAATGGAAAAAAAAATTAACTGTACCCCTGCCAAAAGCAGCACATGACCAAAACTTCACCGAAGTGGAAAGCACATGGATGTTATCTTATATATTACAACAGTTCTAATATCATTATGGTGCAAGGATTTCATAGCCTCAGAGTTTCATACCTCCTCAATGTTTCTCATAGGCAACTCCTCTAAGCACTGACTGCTCCTGGTCCTCACAGCAGCCATCTGACTCCAGATCCCACCAATCCACTCTTTTAGGCCACTTGTTCTTATTGGCTGCAGGTGTTGCCTGTTACCATCTGGCCTGCTCCTAATCTTTAGTAATAGGGTCCAGCTGCAACTCATTGGGGGATAAGATTACATTCTACAGCACCTTCATTTACCCAT